CAGCTCCCATTTATCCAAGGTTTTATAAGAGATATGTAGATGACACCTTCACCATTTTACTAACAAGTAAAGTTAATGCATTTCTAAATCACCTTAACTCATTAAATTCCAAAATACAATTCACTATGGAATTACAAAATTATAACTCTTTAGCTTTCCTAGATGTTTTGGTCATCCGCAATCCAAATAACACTGTAAGCCACACTGTGTATAGGAAGGCAACCCTTACAAATATATACCGAAACGGTGACTCTCACCACCATCCATCCCAGTTAGCTACCGTGGGTAAATCTTTGTTTCAGAGAGCACAAGGGATTTGTGACAAACAACACCTGGCCGCTGAACTTCAACATTTCAAGCAAATTCTGCATGACAACAAACTTCGAGCACCGCGCCTACGTCACAGTGACCGAGTGAAACCGGCCACAGTAGAGCGAGTACCTGCTGTTCTACCATACGTCAGAGGAGTCACCGACAAGATTGGCTATATCTTAAAGCAGGCTTCAATTAATACATTCTACAAGCCGCTGAAGAAAATTAGTTAGTTTTTACCATCTGTCAAGTGTAATATCCCTCTGCAAGAACCAAGAGTGTACAAACTTGAGTGTGAATGTGGGCTCTCTTACATAGGACAAACGAAAAGAGCAATAAAAACCCGCGTAAAATAACATATAGCTGACATAAAACATAATAGATTGAACAAGTCTGCAGTTTGTGAGCTCACCTTAAATCGGCCCAACCACTACATCAGGTTTGATAGACCACAGATCCTTGCAAAAGAACACCGATTCCTCCCAAGGATGATTCGCGAGGCTATTGAAATTAAAAAACACCCTAATTTCAATAGAGAAGAGGGTTGGGTACTACCATCAGCTCGGGATCCTGTCATCAATAAAATTAAATCTAGGCTCAAACCAACCACTACTGCAAGACAAGATACAATTAGCTCCTCTGCATAGATCGGACACAAAATTAATAATTCAAAAACTGACGGTAGCCCGGGTTAACTACGACAATCAGACGTCTAACACCTCAGTCTGTCCCGTGACCATGAACGCTGTAAAGGGTTCGAAGCGTCGGGAATTAAAATTAAAAATAAACGCGATAAATACGTAAAATTAGTTTCATTTATAATGTGTAATCGCGTAAATACAAGAAATTATGATATAATAGTTTAAAAAAAATTAATTTAAGTTATATTAATTCATTATTAGAACCCAAAAACAAGAAAAAAAATCGAAATCTACATCTTTTTATTAAAATCTTCATTTAAATCTGTTACTTGTCTTTATTAATTATTACCAAAATTTCTTTCTTTGTTAATTTTCACTCGGACTTTGGCTTTTCTCCTCTATTCATATACGCACACAATTAGAATTATCCCAAATATAATTTTACTTGATGATAATGAATGACTTTCAACATAAGAGTGATAATATGATATAAAGGAATTTTATAACACACATTATGAAAGGAAAACTGTAAAAAAAGTCGGCAACGTTGCTTATGAAGAATAAATTGAAATAAAATATTCAATTAAATTGATACCTGCCTATAAAGTTACTATTTATCAAATTTCTTGTTACCCAATTCTTGTCCAGTTAGGAAACTTATTTGAATGCGAAATATTTCAATCGCAATATTTAACTAGTTCCTGATATTCTTGATTTGTTTACAGTTGTTTGTGAAAGTAGCCCTAATTGAACATTAGTTGGACCCTAAGAGTACTGTATGCCGTCAGAGGTACAAAGTTACGTATTAAAAGTTACGTAGTCGTACATACTATGACACAACATTCTAAATTAAATAATTATTGGCAAATATGTAAAACGTGTATTAGTACGAGAACGTACTGCAGTTGCTGTTTGTATTTGTGCAATCAACATAACTTGATAAGCCTTGATATTTATGTTTGTTTTTGGGTGGACGGGTTTCTTTTGGAATGTTTTATGTCATATTCTCTTTTATTTTTTTCATTACCTTGGATTCGTTTTACGTACTTTTTGTTTCTTTGTATACAACACTATACCTACAGATAATGATAACAAACATAACCAAATTATTCGTCCTCGCGGACGCGTAAATAAGTTAAAGTCATGTTCCAGGTAGAATTCTCAGCGCTCCCAGCCACCAATTAATACAATCAGGAATCTCCTATACTGTCAATGGAATATTTTTGTAGCGACATCTATTATTGGCGGCAAAACATTTTTTATTTCTTTTATTTATTTTAAGTAGATGTCACTATAACGCGATATTATGGACGTTACATTTATTACTCAGGTTTTGTATCGTTATTAACTTACAAAATGATAGTAGGTACAAATGTGTCGTTCGTCGTGGCGTTCTAAGTGGGAGGCCTTTGTTGTTCAACAGTGGACGTCTTCCGACTGATCAAGATGATGCTCCTTCATTCTTCTAAACGTTGTGTATTCTGTATGCATAAAGGCAAGTAACTTTCATACAACATTCCAACAATTTGCCAACACAATTGGCGTTGTGGATAGTGACCCAGTCTCTTGTGCCAAAGAGTGTGGTTTCGATTCCCATTACTGGAAAAATATTGTGTGATGAACACAGTATTTTTCTAGTGACTGGTTGTTTATGTATCCATAATATGTATTTATATACAAAAGAACATTTTGTTTTAATATGTTTATCAGTTATCTAGTACCCATAATACAAGCTTTGCTTAGTTTGGGACGACAGAATGATGTCTAAAAATATGTCCCGAAATATTTATTCATTTATTTACTATTCTATCTATCTAGTACTGTGGGTTTAAAACGCTAGGTATGTAGATATAAATTCCTAAATCAAACAAATATAATGAATAAACTATAACATAACATTTAATAGTTCAAAATATTTTTGTGTCATAGGATAAAGCCTAGCTTTAACTCTAATTGTAATTTTTTTCCTAGAACAAACATGTAGTCAGCGTGATAAAACTACACATACAAGCAGATAAAATCTATACTTTTTAATATTCAGTATGGGTTAACGCAAGTAGCAACGTAACATGTATGTTGTTGAATTAAAATAATTAATTAGTAAACCTTTTTTTTTTCATAATCTCCAATAATTTTTAGAGTGCATATTGACAGCTTTGTCATATTTTACTGTCTAAATCCCCACTACCTTCAAAACCTATGTTATATTTTGTAACGGTACACAACTCATAACTGTATTTTGTAATGGTAATACGTTTACAAGTATAATGAATTTATAATATTTAGAATTACATACGTAGTCAGCAGCAAAAACATCGTGAGGAAACCTGCATAATTTCGAAATAATTATAAGAAAAACATATTTCGAAGATATTTGAAGTCCGCCAATACACAGTTGAGCCGCGTGGTCTATGCCCTAATACCAGAGAGTATTTGCTGATTTTTTTCTATATTATTACAGAGGTACAGAGGAAGCCATTGTCCAGCAGTGTGATATGTATAGGGTGTTACTTTACTTTAAACGTTTAGGATAGGGACAACAAAACTCAAAAAGCTCAAGCGTATTTTAACAAACATAGACACAACAGAACCAAGAAATAAATAACATTGTTTTAATTTCACACCTTATGTTACACTTGAACTTCTTTCAAGTTCATAATTATAATGATGAATTAGAGCACTCGTCATTAAATGTAAATTAATTAAAAGATATAGTTCAATACAATAAATATACGTATATACACATATATGTAGTAAGCTATTTATGTAAAGATATACACCGAATGTTTCGGAACATCGTTGATAGATGTCACTAACATCGCAGGTTAGCAACAAAAAAATTATACACTCTATTTCCACTATTACTTTATACTAGACGTGGGTCGTATAAATTTTTTCTCAGAATCGTATCTGACTCAGATTTCTATTTTCGAAACTATGTATTTTAATATCTAGACATTTTGCTTTCGTGTATCATAAATTTAATATAATTCTATACACGGCTCTAAATACGATACGACGATATCATAGCTATTTAACAGAAACTAAGCTTTATTTGAATAACATTAATATTGAAAATTAGTTACTCATAACAATGATCGGTTAAAAAATCTGATATTGTGCATTGTCGTACAACTCAAACTAGTGTAACATTTGTATCGCAAGCGGTCGACGCGATTCGTGTAGGCACATTGAGTAAGCCAGTATTTTTAGCTATTGAACCAATATACAGTTTTCCAAGATTTTTATCACCCACTTCTAATTTATACTCTATGACGTACTCTGTTCACCGTGTGAAAATGAAAAAGAACCGAAACAACGCACCGATGTCGCGATGTTGTTGAATTAATATTAATAACCTATATTAATAAAGTATCAGCAGTAAAATATCAGTCGTTAAAATATTTTACACCAGTAGGAACTCCGCGAAGTATGACGCTGCTTTATGCTGCAATTTCATTAAAATTAATGTACAAGCTGTGCAAGCTCTTAGTGTGTGGTAAAAATACTAAGTCTTTGAATGAGATAGCGGGGGACACAACAATATATTTGTCAATAGACACAATCATGGATAAAGAACGGTGCACCTCATACCCCATACAAAATGATGTTACATGTTTTATACCACTACCGCAAGACAAAATTCAATTAGAACTTTCTGTGTAGATCAAAAACAATATTAATATGAATAATTTTAAAAACTGACGGTAGGATTAACAATGATATTCGGATGTCTAAACCCTCAGTCTGTCCCATGACCACGAATTCCGCAAAGCATTCAATCGTCGAGAACTTCATTTCAAAAATAAATTACGATTAATTGGTAGAAAATAATTTCATTGAATAATATGTAATGCTTGTGTTAATATTAATTTCATGTGAAAAGAAGGAAACGTTTAGTTCAAGTGGCTTATTTGTGTTAAGAGAGGTTTACCTTCGTACTTTGTTTTAACCAAACTTTTACAACAAAAGTAACCAATATAAACATTGCACAACGTCGTAAATTGTGCATAGTACCTGCAGTGGACAACGCATTACGAAGTAATAATGAAAGCTGTGAGTAATGTCTCATTTTATAGTAGGTAAAAATTTTATGTCATATATAACTCAGCCTTAGTGTTTTGTTTAATTGGAAGCTGTTCCATACGTGTTCCGAAATATTTTCCATTTTATTAATGACAAATAGTGTTAACGTAGTGATAGAAAGAAAGTGTAGAAATATCAATTAAAATTAACATATCTAAAAAAATGTGTATATCGTGTCGCATTTGCCAATAGGTGGCAGTACTGTGTTTGATCGGTGTGGTATGTGCCGCACCGTCACCATCTTGTTCAGACAGTGAGAGTTCGGTGGAAAACAAAAAAAACAATGCTGCGATCCTTCGCTACGATAACGATAATCGAGGACTCGGACAATACAATTTTGCGTAAGTTGTAATTCAACATATTTGTTCAAAATTTTAATGTCTCGAAAATGGGGTGTCACTAAAATAGGCGCTTATCTTTTTTATTAAAGGAACAAGCATATTTAAGAATAAGCTTGTACTTTTAATAAAAAAGTACTTACTTTTAATTGTACGTACTATTAATTAATTGTACGTGGTTCCGCGTGCACTTAACCTTACAAATCTCGTGCCTATATGCCTTCACTGTTTAAACATTCATTTTATACGTTTTAAACTTCTACAAGCTCGTTACAAATTATCTAATCAATCAAACTCGTGCTTTTATGTTTTCACTTATTATTATTTGCTAACCTAAAAGTAGCTAGCTTTGTGCATCTTTTGATCCTTGCATATCTAATTACTGTATTATACCTAATACGTAAAATAAAAATGGCCTATTACCAAAACGAGTCAAGATTTAGTCTCCACTCATAAAGGAAATACGATCTTATAAATTATCTTAGTTCAATATAATTATTCAAGTAAATTGTTCTTACATATAATAGGTACGTCAGTCTTTATTTGCTGACTTATTATGCCAGTAAAAACAAGCGGCTTTTTTGGTCAACTTCGCACTAAACTACCGATCCAAGTTTTATTTTTATTTTATAAGGTCTAGGAACACTTACTGAGTATAAAATCACAAAATGCTGACATCCTGGTGGAGATTCAGGTGCCATCTTGAAAAAGCGATTTTAGCTTAAATCTTGGAAGCTGTTACAGACATAAGAAAAAAAGTTTCAAATGAAAGTTGTGGAGAATAGATTGAACTTTAAAAACGGATAGATGATTTTATTGATTAATACAATATTATAAAAGTTATCGGCCGAGTTAGAAAAAACAGGACAAAAAACGGAAATCAAAAATTGTAAAATTTGATTCTCTATCACAATGTTCTATGTAACTTTCTTCTTCAAGTGCATAGTTTCATCTACATAGTTGCATCTGGCAAAAAGGTTTTTTTCAAGGTGACGTCTGAAGCGCGACCTTTGTACTCAGTAAGTATTCCTAAACCTTAGGTAAAATAAAAATTGGATCGGTAACTTAGTGTGAAGTTAAATTCTATTTTTAATGGCCGCGCGACTATCACGCGTCATAACAAGGAAATAATATATATCCGTCCGCTAACTCGGGCATTAGTAAAATTAGTTTCAGCGGGCTGACGCTGTTTTGCGTACAACGTGGTTGGCTGTGGATACTATGTTTTCGTATTTTGATAACTTTGTGATTTTTCTTTTATACCACAGTTCTTGGCAGTAAAATGTTCTGGATCTCTCCAAGTTCAAAAAACAATATTTCATGTCTTAAATGAAAACTTTTTCTAGGATACCTATTCCAATAGCAGTCTATTTATTTCAATCCACATTTCGTGTTACACAAATATCAAACAATTTAATACGAAGTAATCACTTTTATAAACTGTGTGCTATTTAAAGCATGATTGTGCGTGTTTTTGTCTACTACGATTGACATGAATAAATCAATGCTAAGAAAAAATACTTAACCCCTAATAAAAACCTTAATAAGTAAAAAACATATTTAACAAAACCAATATTAATATTAGATTGACCAAGGCAGAACGGTTTAGATTAATCTGCGAATTAAAGAAGCCATTTTGTCCACGGGAAATTTAAGTTTGTAAAACGTCCTTACAAACCAGGATAATGTTATCCTAACGTAACGGCAATATTTAAAAAAAATTAACTATTTACATTGGCGTCGCGTATTATAATTTGGTACAGTCATATTTTTTAACATTAAGAGCGCAAAATTAAGTCGTATTGTCTATACTAGGAGAGGCTTACTTACAGCAGAAGACGACCAAAGAATGAAGAATTTTTACATATTCTTATAATACTTTTCAGATTTGAACAATCAGACGGCACAAAGCAACAACAGCAAGGTGAACTCGTTAAAAAAGGCTCTGATGAATACCTATCCGTTAAAGGCAAGTACACGTACATAGGCCTAGACGGTGTTACTTACACCGTAACGTACACCGCAGATGACGATGGATACAAACCCGAGATAGAACAGGGCCCAGGTGGTGCTGTACCTGATGCCGTAGTCGCCTCCCTACTTGGATAGTAATCAACTTACGTACGTTTACATGTAAACATATTTTTAATTTTACAAGGAAACCTAAAAATGTTTATAGCAAGACAAATTGCAATTATGCTGTTTGCACCATTCATATAAAAAACCAGTCTAATAGCTGTTATACGTAAATAACTCCGCGTGCAAATCATGCCGATTTACCATTGTTATTTCTTCCTCTTAGATATTAATGATTTAATCAATTCGTTTGGCCAATAAATTTTTTTTAATAATTTGTGTTGTATTATTCTTTTATATCGGATATTTGTTATTCAAAGTTTGACGGCACGGAGTATATATGTTTCGTAATTAATAATCATTTTCATGCCGTAACATTGATTCACATTTTTTAGCAGATACCGCAAAGATTTGTATATCGTCTAATTGTTTCCAGCTTACGGATGATGAATATTGATCAGTTATTAAAAAACAATATTGAGTCAATAATTAAATAGGAATAATTTTATTAGAATATTAAAATACTAGTAGAAGCGTTTGTTTCCCTTCTAAGGCGACTGATTTGGTTAGAGTAAGAATGTTTTGGACACAAGGTGAATTTTTTTAGGGGTCTACTTACGGAAAACGTCGGTAATTAATAGATCAGCAGAATAAAAGAATGTGGTGTCCAATTTGCAGCATACAGCTTGAAGCTTAGTGTAATAGCAGAAGAGCAGAAATAATAAATCAAGGGAAATTCTATGAACGACCTCGTTTACTTGTGCGAGATAGCAAAAGTTAAGAAAATATATTACAATTAAATAAAGAATATACAAATACAGACATAACCAATAACCACTGAGTTGTCCTCGACTTCGAGCATGGGATACCAACCCAAAGTACACAATATACACCCTCGTTCCAAAGCGTTTTTCAGTGGCCCCGACTAATGCTTAACGCAGTTAATAACCATCGGGATCATGGTGTACCCCGAACCCCGATAGCCCGTAGGTCTTGATGACATGCACTAATAAGTAAATGTGCACAATTTCAAACATTTTGTGATCTCTCCATATCAAATCACTCTACGAATCACTCACTCACGAATTATCTACAGAGAGGTTTGGTAACTAGCGATAGATATTTGACATTTGCTCCATAATATTGACGTCAAAATTCTATCTCCAGTAACCAAATCTATCTGTAGATTGAATATTGAAAACGGCCGTTAAAAGAACATTCTGAAAGAACATCAAGCTAGTAAGAACGTAGAGTTAGCAAGAACTAGTTTTCACTAATATTCATTTCTGAACAGCAGTTAATTTTTGTTATAACAAAGGCAGAAGTTTAGTGAAAACTAGTTCAAAATAGTTAAAATGGGTTGAAACAACGAACGGGTTTTAACTGTAACATATACATCATTTAACCGACAGTTTCTTGCCGGATCTAAATAGACTGGTCTAAATTAATCAACAATTTTGATTTTGAATTTGACGTCAATATTTCCTCCTTCACTAGATAACGCACACCTGAGCACAGTCGCGACCCTACCCAAGGTGGTGACCGTATCAAACTGTTGGAATCTAGTCGTTACACGTGCACGATCGATGAAACTTTAAAATTATAGGGACTGAAAATGTTTATATCATTTTTCACATGAATAAAAAAACTGTAGGAGGTGAACTCGTATTATATTAACATACCAATGCCCATTTTAAAATTGACTAAAAGGAAGAATGAACTAAACTGAAGAATGCAACGCTCTTTCATTTGCTTTAAGTGGTGTAGTTTACCTCCGTTTTTTATATTAACCAAGCCTTTACAACAAATGTATACTCTAAAAACCAATATCAATCAGAAAATCGTAAATTTTCCATAGTAGCTTTAGATGTCAGGGGAACGTTACGTTGTAATCGTGAAAGTAGTAAGTAATATTTTTTATTTTGAATAAGTGTAAACAGCAGTGTTGTTACATTTAACTTAATTTTCGATTTATTATATATTTAATATGTACTGTACTCAAATATCTAGATGAAGAATGATAACAAATTTTATTTTATTTGTTATAAAAGAAAATGTTTACACATCTTCATTAACTAATTTACTTAATAAAACAATATTATATTATGATATTTGCCTTTCGCTAGGTGGCAGTGATGTATTTGACCGGCGCGGCGTAGTGCATTAGACGTCACATTCTTTGGACAGTCCGATTACATACGAAGAAAATGTTAATGTTTATCTCTACAACGCAATTTTGTGTAATCTATTAATTGGCATTATAGTTACAATTTTTTTAGCTAGATCCTAAAAGAAGGATGATCTAAAATTGGTTCGTGCATTCTTAGCTATGCTCTCAAAAAAGATACTCTTTAACCTACTTAATTGCAAATTGGTGGGTCTATGAGTGACCTTCGCCTCACGAGGACCTCTATGTACAAACCGGACTGATCTGTGTTTTTAAACTTTAATAACAATCTTCTCCCCCGTACTTAGCTATATGCGTTCGTAAGAACTATGTCTTGCGCAACTCTTGTGTATATTTATCGCTTTTTAAAATTATTTAATGTTATGAAAATGACAACGTGAAGAAAGTTTATAAATGCAGGTTGCTCAGGACGCTTTGTGACACTGGACCTAAACATACAAAAATGATGATGATGAATTATATAAATTTTTTCAACAAACAGATAGCATCCTGCTATTAGTGCCAATAATTTATATGTAATAAATATAATTTATGTATAAGAATATAATGAAATATATTTTAATTTAAGGTAAATATAATAACGAATGATCCATAAAAGAAAAACTAGGCTACAAATCAAAATTATGAATTAAAAAAAGTAATAGCAACTTGTTTAAATCTACCATTTGTTTTTATTAACATTGTTAGATATTAAGTATTTGTTTCATTTGCACGAATGTAATAAAAATTAAGGCTATAGTTATTTGTGATTAAAAATTATAAAAATATATAATTGCGAGAAGCGATGACCTCGATTTATCTCGATGACATCGACTTGTGCCTGTTTGAAACTTTCGCCTATAACGGATACCGAGATACGGATACCTATACCGAGAAAAATAACGTGCAACAGCGAACACTATTGTGTGGCCCTACCACAGTTAAAACAGGCCTTGTCGTCAGAATGGCGGCCGGTCGCAAATACCTACCTAAAACATTATTCACGTTTTTGCCTACCTACCTAGGTGGGATAGAGCAGAGAGATTATCCTTGACTTCGGATGTTTAAAGGAATCAATTTTTGAAGAGAAGTAACAAATTTAGAATTTTATTATATATTTAAGTATAGCATAATTTTTAAGATAACTCTTAGCCCAGCTTGAATCATACTATCCGGGTTTTAATTCAAATCAGGAGACCTTATATTAAAAGTATTACATATTGCGCGTTATTTTTTGTATAATCGTATGTTTTTGGTAATTTCAAGTTGACATATCGAGTAGATAAGGTTTGTTTGTATTTAGATAATGTCATATAGCGCCATCTCTTAAAGTTTTGAGTACCAGTAGGTTAACATATACAACAACGCAAGTACCTTAAAAATTTATGAGATGGCGCTCTATAGAATTTCTATCTCTCAATTATTATTCCCATCTCATGGTGGGGTCAGCCTTCTTGGTCTTATACTTCCACTTCGCTCTATTCGACGCGTCATCTTCGGTAACCTTGTAGGAACGTAGATCTTGTCTGACCTCATCTGTCCACCTGGTTTTTGGACGCCCTCTGGGTCTAGATCCCGGAATGTTCAGATTGGTCACTACATTTCCTATGTATTCTGAAGGTTTTCATTTAATATGCCCAAACCATAAAAGCGATTCTCCAAACAAAGAAAGTTTGTTAAATTATGATGAATGAAATGTCGAAATTCGAGATAGATATTTCATATCGCAATGGCATACACAGCACTATGGCAAAAGTTGTCAAATTCGCCCCAAAGCTCGACAACCTTCTGGGACTAGGAGAACAGTCACTTGATTGACTACAAAGAAAAGGTATCTCCATTTATCTACATATAAAACAAGAAGGGATGCAATGATAAAAGGTATCTTGATTCTTGTGATCATTGTCTTGTAACAATGGTCCGTGAGCAAAAGCCTGGCCTGGAAAAGTCAGGACTCCAGATTATTTATTCTTAAAAATATAAGTCGAGAAATACTCCAGTGACAAGACAATGCTTTGATCATTCTTTTTTTTAAACAAATAGTTTTTTTTTTTTATTTAGGGAAAACTTTAATAGAATCACAGGTTATAGAGAAACGTATTCCGCTGAAACGGCAAAGCATTTTTTTTTATTTTTCAACCGCCAATCTAAATACGTCCCCAAGTATTTCCATAAAATTGTCATAAAAAGAAAAACATAACAATGCTTTAGTAATAAAACACTGTTTTATTATGGATGCAATGTAGTTTTAATGCCAGTTTGTATTACGGTTACGAGCCTGTGTTAAATTTGCCATATATCAAATTTCCGATGATATATCGTCAAAAACCTGTGTACATTTTCGTATTTTTTGTACGCTCTCATTATTTAGTCAGTTAATATAATACTTTTTATATAAGTTACATGATTCTCACACTGGGTATAGAAACTGATTTACATCATCCTTGTAACTCAATAATATTAACCGTAACTTGCAGGGACAGAGCACTCAAAGAAAATATTTACTATGTTAACATAATATGTTATATATTATTAATTTCAGTAATCTATCATAGTATCATTCATTTTCAGTGGGTATGTATCCTACATCAACTTAAACTATGTGACGGTGTAATCTACACATAGTAAGTGACTTTTTTATTTTAATTAACATGAATTTTTATGCTCGTAGTCACAAGAGAACTAACGGTATATTTAATGTTTAGTGAATACCGTGGTCCATAGACAGTCACAACTACCACAACGTTGTTTTGCCTATCTTTAAGAAGCTACAAAAAGAGACCGCAGAATTGCAATCTAATTACACTTGTGTAATTTGCGTTCCTCAGTTTTGGTTCGCTAGTGTTATATCTACCTCGTATTTGTTTATCTACATTGCCTCATAGGGATCGGTCGCTACGCTTTAAAATATTTCACCCTGCTCATATTATTCACTAGATTTAAAATTCTTTATTTCTCTTCTACTTCAGTGAGGATGTGGAGTTGAGACGCATTTTCCCAACTGAGTTCCCTTTTGACACGGTAAGACGAAGCGGTTCGCCATTTGCCGAGGTAATTGAAAATAGTTAAAGACATTTTTATAATATCTACTTATTAAATCAACTAGTCGTAATAGATGACCTTTATGATAAGTAAATGGAGATTTTCACAAACACAGATAATGTTATACCATTACAAAGTATGTTTCTTAATGTGTATTTTCATTTATCTTACATGTAAGAACAAGTTATATATTTTAACTTTGTCACAATATTTATTGCAATAAGGTTATGAGAAACAATATGTTAAATTAAAATAACTATTAATCTAATACTATTATATTCATAGAATTCTGTAAAAGAGGCATGACTGTTGAGTATCAAAAATAGAAGTTTTTTTTTTTAAAAGAAGAAATAATTTAAAAATCAAAATGTTGCAGCACTTGGGTCGCTATATGGAGCTTAAAAGCTACTTCAGGCATCCTAAGGACAAATTAAACAGCCATTTTGAAGAAATGATTTGCTACGATGAAAATGACAAAAAGGTTTAGTAAAATTTAAACAAACATACCATTTTCGTAAAATAATTATTTTTCCTTTGTAAGAAATAAAATTTCAGATTAACTATCTAACTTATTCTATTGACCTTTGAGAAGAATTTTTTAGTCTTAAAAAAGTTACTCGCCCGAAACTAATCCCCCATCATCTTTATCACTGTTAATCCTTCCCATAACTTATTATCTACGCAATCTAAAATAAGAATTTTTTTGCACATTAACGTCTGTATAATATGATAACGCAAAATTTTATTGACGTATCCGACAATTGATGATAATTCATTTTTTTTTTATTTATACCTAATATCACTCTCTATTTATATAGTATTATTTACATAAGATTGCTCAATAGTAACAAATGAAATTAAAGGAAAAAATCGAAGTTCAATACAAAGTAACTTAAAAAACTCATCAATCGGTCCTTTACGGTTCACCTGTTGAGTTTAAATAAATCTTTATTTATATTTAGTCTGAAGTAGTAGTAAAAAATAGTATTAGTATACGTGATTTTAAGTATATCGACTATATATAATATAAACTTGAGTATGTTTCTTTAACGATATCATAACTGATTTACCATTTGCAACTCTTTTCGTAAATCAATGACTATAGGGAAAAAAAGTAATTTGATTCACAATCTGTGGTTGTGACGAGATGCGTGACGTTTTTCAGGTATGCCGTGTGGACGTAAATCGGTATTTGCCCGAAGAAAACAGCTATTACTCATCACCAACAGCTGAGAGTCACGTTGACCGTCGGAGAGTGTATTGCTTCATGTTGTTATGCTTCACGGAGGATGAACTAGACAGAGTCGCGGCTTCGTTTTAACCTACGAAGCTTAATTGTACCTTCCTGATATATTTTCTTAAAAATTGTGCAGAAAATGTTATCACCATCAGCTCTAATATTCCGGACATATATGTTGAATTTACTGAGTTATTAAAATAATATTTTACATTGGAGTACACTCTCGATATATTTACCAACACCGGTAGAGTCCGAGAAGAGTTTGGCGTACTGTTGGAGCACAGGGCATGACACCTAATCATAGTCGGCAGACAAAGTCAATCTTTTCCCATAATAAATGAATACAATGCTTTATAACAGGCTCTCAATGTTTTAGGGCCACGCAACAGTCTTTTCTGTTGCACAATGGGCAGGTTCGTCGGGGAGGTACCACGACCTCACAGAAGACCAGCGTCTAGTGGAAGTATTATACTTCTGCGTTTCGTCTAGTGAGTGAAGTAGCCAGGGCTCACTTAATTAAATTTGGCAACGCACCTGCAACCCTACGGTTGTTGTAATTGTCCATGGGCGGCGGTTATTACTTAACATCAGGTGAACCGCCTGCTCGCTTGCCATCTTCTTACATGAAAAAAAATAAAAAAGCCTTAAAGAAACAATATAACGATATAAAAAAAAAGAAAAGGAAAGGATACTTACGGTCATTTTAACCTGAGCAGAGTTTAAAGCACAAAATTAGATTCCGCATGCATTTTCATGATGAAAATAATTTTAAATGTGCTAAAGGTAACATTATTATTCATGATACTTTACATAATCTATGGTTACTTTTCGCCATTAACATACTTGTTTCGATTAATAACAAATTCGTGCCGAATTATAACCTCTCAGACCCTAGCAAATAAGTACCGTTTTATAAGTGAGAATATAAATAATTAATATTATTAATTGCGCCAATTTATTCTCTCTTACAACAACTCAACCGCTTAAGGGATGCAAATAAAATTTTGAAATAAAGCTGTTTTATACACTGGGAAACTAAAGGACCAGTATAGAGGAAAATATTCGATCGAGTAAAAAATTACCATCTTATTTAAAAGATAAATTATCTTCCGTCAGAAGTAAAATCTAGAGTATAGGCTGGAAAAAAAAATAATCATTACATTTATGAAAAAACTATTTTAAAATATTTGGCCTTTGAACGAGAGTCTATTCTTTTGGTTCAAAGGTTAAAATTGTGCAAGTCAATGTCTCTTTTAATCATAACTGGTAGGTACTAATCCATTATCTGAACTAATAGTGGTGGCACGTAACTGTTATGGTAATTATGTGGAAACACGCAAAAGGTAAAGGTAATTTAAAACGAAACCTAATTTATTCTTAACTAATGCGCAAAGTGAAGTATTTGAACTTTATTAAAAAAACGAAAATAAAAGTTATTTCATATATAGGTATTTATATAATCAACGGGAAGCATCATAGGATCACTATGATAAAGTTAGTATAATTGGGTTCCGTCCGTAATAAAACTAATTAAAAATATCGCAGCCTATTATTTTTCCTCCTGTTCAAAGTTTCTAGATCGAATCATCGATCAAAAGATCACACAACCAATAAATGGATAAATCTGTAAAGAAATTTTTACTTTTTTTTAGTTAAATCGATGAATGTACAGAATCACTTAGATGGTATCGAATTCACCACCATCTTTATGTGCTTAGATAAATAAAAAATAAAAACCAATTAACCTTTCCCAACACCAAACATAACGAGGAGTCAAATGTCAGATGGAAAGAGGTTTTTCTTTTACATATTTTGTAGATGTATTTATTTAAATGTCAAATTGCGGCAGTACCGGATTAGGTATGTTGGTCTTTAACCTTTACGAATTAAGCACAAATAATAACAACAAAGTGTGTCAATAAGGCTAATTATGATCAAGAATCTCTTCATGTCAAACGAAAGATATTGCAAAAGGACAAGCATCATAGCTGTCCTCAAATTATTCAAGGTCCGCACTGCTGAGCCACGTTAGAAGTGGTCAACCATGCACAACATAACGAGATAAATGCACGTCAAATAACATACGTGATGCAATACAGTATTCCGAAAAGTATATAATATGAGCTTGCTCAAGCCATGCACACACATCTCGATTGGTAGGATTAAGAGAAGCTTGTACCCGTGCTTAATCATGAAACTGGTGGGTATGGTGTTTTAAGTGTTCACTCAATGTCGTGACAGTGATAAAGTGAAGTGTTATTTGATAGTGATTCAGGCGTAATAAGCGTCAATAGTAAAATTCTGAAAGCTACATTTCTCTCCGTAGGTTAATGAACTGGTGTTTTTTATTAAAGTGATAAATTTCATCCAACGTGCCGAGGCTGAAGATTCTTCCAAAATCCCATTAACTATTTTTCTCATAAAAAGAAATTCAAAGAACATACAGACTAAACTTTTAACCAATGTTAAGAAAATAGTAACTTATTGTTGTTTTAATACAATAGTAATTTCATTAATAACACTGTATTTTGTCTGGCTCATACGTCCAATCGGGTAGTGGAAGAAGTAACGAACAGGTTCATTGTATAAGAATATACGAAGAAATAGGATAATAGTATAGAAGTATAGGATAGGCAAAGTGTCCACTGTACACAGGGAAGAAAGTACGAAACTGTTACGATTCGCTAATTCACGTGGATTCGCCCATTGTTACTTTCTTTATTTGTCTTTAGCGATGAGTACTTATAGATCGCTTAAATTTCGGATTGGCACTCAAGTCTACGGACCTGCTTATCCGCTGTTGTACGCATGAACAGTTCAGTCCGGGTAAATACCATAATCTCATAGAGGAGCGGCGGTGTGAAGTGGAAGTATTATACTTCTTTTTACATTTCGTCTGGTGAGTGAGGTACCCGGGCTAACTCACTTTATAAAAAGGAAACATATCGTCTGCAGTCCTATTGGTGTTGCATATGACCATGGACGACATTTATCACTTAACATCACGTGAACCGCCAGCCCCTTCGTCACCTTCTCACATTTAAAAAAGTCTTAGATTCATTAATCTTTCGAATTACAGTTTGTCGTACTGTGCCTGATTGCGATAGCGTCTGCAGCCCCACAGGCAGCCCAGTTACGCCCCACCCCGAAAGAGCAAGAAGTACAGCTTGTACGTTTCGACTCGGACAACGATGGTCTAGGGGGCTACAACTTTGCGTAAGTTTTTTTCATTATTAGTTAATGGCACAAAATTAAAACACCAATTAAGGCGGTTTCCGGAACCTAAGATTTTATATTTTGTAGTCACCAACCGCAATCGTTTATTTATATCCAATGTCTGGAATAATCTTTAGATGTATAGTAAAGTAAAGTAAAATAATCAGTTATTTTTATAATAAGTAAACAGAACAGAAACCTTATTTCTTTAATCCTCTCAGCCGAAGCTGTTGCGTGGTCCTACCACAATTGAATCATCTATAGCAAATGTTTAGGTGAACCCAGTTTTACAAATACCAAATTTAATCGCTTAAACTTTCACAATAGCAATGTAACTAATCTCACAAAATCTTATAGGTATGCGGACATGCCTTGAACTTTTTACGTTCGCACGCACTCATGCCATCTTCTGACATTAATCTTGCCATTCAAAGGTCTTGTTATCAAACACATTGGAACATCAACCATATCATTGATTTATCAAAAGCGTTTGAAAATAATGTCTTGTTTATGATATCATAGCGTACAATGAACATTATAAATTTTTGCTTATTGTAATGTACGGTGAACAAGTATCAGTACAAATATTTGAAAAGGCGATGGAAGATAAAACTGGTAGACAAATGAGTAATAATCAAAGATGAGTAATATAACATTAGAGTTCATTTATATTAATGTAATTATTCTTGGCTTGAAACATAAGCCTTACTATAAAGTAACATTATATTGGGTAAAAAAGTTATTCAACGAACACGAATAACATATGACCAAACAAACACTAATATTATAATTCAAGCATTGAGAAAAAACTAAAAGCAAAGCCCGAGCTGAACCGATTGTTACTTAGCACTACGGTACGCAAGGAGATATAATAATAACAATAATATGTTTATTATTTCAGTTTCGAACAGAGTGATGGCACTAAAAAGGAAGAACAGGGTGAACTAAGAAACGCGGGTAAAGAAGATGAGTTCATTGCCGTGAAGGGATCTTACTCGTGGGTGGGACCCGATGGCGTACTTTACACCATAACTTACATCGCCGACGAAAATGGATTCAAACCCACAATTGAACAAGGTCCAGGAGGCGGTGTACCGCCAGGCGTCGTCGCTTCACTACTTGGTTAAGAACTCTCAGTCTAGTGTTAATAATAAAGTACTCTGATAACTTTTCCTTTTCTTTCTTTTTAACACGAACGGCAGTAAGATAACATTTTGCAATGTTCCAAATAAAATTTCGTTTGTATAGAATGATTTAACAGTCTCATGATATCAACAATGCGACGAGTAAGTTTATATGAATAAACAAGAACAAAATTTTAATAAAAATGAAACTAATTTAAGGAAAAAACTTAGTGAATCAATTGGCCCCTAATTTATTGAAGACCAGGAGTAGAATGCAACCAATAAGCATAAAAGTAGATATATATTTATTGATTTTTTTTTAATTTGTCTCTTTTACTTTATTCGTTTATAATAAACGATTTCTGTTACTAGCTTAATTATTCAAAAACCATTTTATGGGAACCTTTTAGAACTTTATTTTATTCTTTATTTTTACGCAGCCATGTTGGAAAGAGATTTTGACTTGTATCAGGTAACATCGTTTTATACAAAGAATCAATATTCACTAAAGGTAACATTACAGATACCCCACCAATAAACTCAATTCCAGTCATTTGGAAATCGCCGATGATAAGAAACCACTCATAAACGTGATGGAAAATTTAATACATAATAAATTAAGAGATACATAATAAATCACTACATGCTGCAGCCCGACCGAAAGCTAAAGAACTTAATTGTAAATATTTTGGGGTGCTTAATGGCAAAATCTTCAAGCGCAAAACTGACGACGGTAAATTTATTTTTGTACGAGAAATCTTTCTGATTTATATGGTGTTGATAAAAATATGTTATCCTGCAAACGTTACCAATTTCAAAACTTTGAGGTTAAAATGTAAAATAAAGAAATTCTTCCGTAATGATGTTTGTAATCATTTTGCTATAATAATTTAAACTGAAACATCGTTGAACTGCGGTGTCTTCGATTAGGAACTTTTTGACGACCCTTAGGTACATATTACGTAGGCGAGACCGCGAAACAAGGGGCTCTCATCGTTCAAAATAACGGTGTTAGGGTTAAGAGCTTTTTAAATTTTACTTCGAATCTTCTTCATAATTGTGAATCAGTGTGAGGATATTGGGGTATGTGTCGATACATACAACCCATAGGTTGTAAGGAAGATTATCTCATTTGCTGTGTATAATTCCCGATCCTCCACCGATCCAAAAACACTTGTTTTAATAACTGTAATAGCACTCTTGAAATAACCTCTATTAAAAACATTCTCATTACTGGTAACTTTAATATGGGTAATATATCTTGATCAGCAAACAGCGACAGCAAAACCTATAAATTCTATAACAATAGCCCGTTCAGTTCTAAGCTAATAAATACACTGGACAGCAATGAAAAGGGGTCGGTTATAAAATCTTCAATATCTTCAAAAGTAATTAATCAATTAAAACAAATAATTTAAAATACAGTTTTACGTTGTATTTTTTGCGTATTAGTAACTTATTATTTGAGCAATAAAGTCTAAATTAGTAAATGTTTATAAATTAAAAATGACATACCTGTACGTAACAAATATACTCAGAGTAAATGCGTAACTCCATATATAAAAATTGATCCTTAACTTTATGCCACTAGTGCCACGGTAGTACAGCATAGTTTCGAATGTATTATTTTTTCATTGTTGCTAAATAATATATTAAAATAGTGTTTTAATCATCGCAAGTTTCACAATTTAAAGTTTTATTCAATTTGGAAATATAACATTTTTAGGTTTTAAGTCTACTTAAATGTAATTAACTAAATATAATTAAATTAAACCAGAAAATCACTTGCGTTAAGAAAAACAACTGAAACAAAATGGCGATAGAAACACTGACAATGAATTAATGACATTTCATTTAACCAACAATTAAGCGATACTTTGGCGACTTCTTTAAACGGACAGGTTGTACCAGAGAGACACTTTTTCCAGCCTTTGTCCAAAGAAGGAAAAATTTATAAAAGTATATAAACATATTCCAACAATTATAGGCGAACACAGCTTTCTTAACATAAAGTACCCTAATGAAAATAAACTAATTTACAAACTAGTGAGAGAAAAATGTTCTAAAACTATTAAGTACTTACAATAATTATTTACAATTATGTAAAACGATTTTGGAAAAGCATGGCTCAAATGAACTCTTTATAACAATTTAAAACTACATGAAACGTCTTTTTTGTCAAACATCTTTTTTATTTTCTGTCATTACCAATGAGATAAATAATTTTATTGCGAGATTATTGTATACTATATTTTTGGTGGTAAATCATTTTTATTGTTTAATTAATGGCAAAAATTACGAAAACGAAACCCAAAACGAGAGAAATTGTTTTATCGGCTTTGAAGAAATTGATGAAAAATACCGGATGGACATCTCGGACAATAATAAAATTTATAAAATTGGAATATAGAATATCGGACCCAACGATTAGCAGGAAAGTTTCTAGGTATATACTGTGATTATATCCATATGATGGATTTTAGTTAAGCCTATTTCGTAACTAAAATTTATTGCAAATAATCCATGTATTTAAAGAATAAGTTTAACAAGAAATGTAATGGAATCCTTCAGTTTCGAGAGTGTAACATTTTTCTTATTTTTATGACCTATTTTTATGGAGAACTGAAACGCAGCTCATTTCAATTTTGGCATAATTTTTTTAAATTATATAGGTACCATTCTGTTTCACAACCTTTCTCCATCTTTCATGCAACTAGAGAATTCCGTTCTTCCAGAACCTCTCAGGTTTCCGGTACAAAATTTGTCCAAAGGGGGTCCTTAAAGGTCCTTAAAAATTCAACTGCTTTTTGAAACTATCGGAAAAAGTAGAAATCGAGGGCGCGAGGTTTGGCTATTGCGGTGGACGGAGTAAACTATACCAACCAAACTACAACAATTTTTGTCGAGTAGTCAATGATACGGGTAGCCGGGCATTGTCCTGATGAAATACGACACCGTTCCGATTCGCTGCATCTGGACTTTTTTCGATAATTGTCTTCAATTTATCTATATATTATATTTATCTATTTTATCTAATTGAGAGCAATACTTTTCCGAATGTTTCATTATTGATCGAATATCCGATTGTTTCATTATTCCCTAAAAGCTAAAAGAACAACATTATATTTACCTTCTTCCAATCAAGACCAACTTTTAGGTTGACTAAAGATGGTTCATCACGCTTTCACTAAGACTCTTACGCTGAACGTTTTTAAAAATTATAAATTTTTCATTCCCCGTCACTTATCGATTCGGAAATGGTGTCTTCCCGTTGCGTTTCAAAAGCAAGTCGCGAATGGAGATGCGATTCAAAAGATTTTTCTCCGTTAAATTGTACGGAACCCGTTCATCAAGACGGTTTATGTAGCCAAGCTTCACAGTGTGGTGGTGGATGGTGTATTTTGATTTATTTAACATTCCTGCTAATTGACGTAATGTTCAACATGGGTTTTTCTCCATGTTTTAATCAGATTTTCGTCTGTAATACTCGGCCTAACCGGGCGTTCTTAATCTTTCCAGCCAAAATTTCCAGCTTCAAACCAAGCAAACCACTTCCGCACTGTTGCCGCTTGTGTGGTAGTTTTGCCCTTTTGAAAAAATAAAAGCGTTAAATACCTATAATGTACTTTCTTTGCAGCCATGTTCTAAGAAATAAAAATGATAAAAATATACCAATATGTTGAAAAATTTATCTCAAAAAAGTTTGCTACTAAAAATTATGGATCATTTGGTACCTACCCAATATTTTTCATCCACCAGTTCAATAAATTATACCGGTTACTATACGCCCAATAGCTCATTAGTAGAAACTATCGACCAATTTAACTTCAGATTGTTAAAAGCGATAAGAGCATAGTTGTGATTCAGTTTCAATTTTTACAGGGCACTCAAACGTGGTGTACGAATGGGCTTATTGCAAACTGAGAACGGCAGATACCGCTTAAGCGACATGGCTTTAATGTCGCAACGGATATCGTACCGCAACATGCATACGCAGAAGCAGAGAAAAAGAAATTGCGCTTGCACTATTTGGAGACGAACGCCTGAAGTTCGCGACTACAGACACTCTCCAATATGATTGGAACAGCTCACAAAATTTTTCCCCTCAAAATTATAGCAGTTTTAAATACAATAAATAATAAATACAATTATTAAATAGTTTTAAATACTATTATTAAATATAACTTTGATTTAATATATATATATATATATATATATATATTTTTTTCGAGATTCAGGGCACAGATAGTGGAAATGAATATTGGTGGACACAAAAAGCATATTTAAAAAAAAAAAAGATTTTAAAAAGGGGACTGCGTAAAATTAAGACAAGGGGCTGTGCCTACTAAGGTAGAATATAATCAATATATTTTTTTTATGTGAGGAAGTGGCAAACGAGCTGGCGGTTCACCTGATGTTAAGTGATAACCGTCTGCCCATGGACATTTGCAACACTCGTAGGGTTGCAGATACGTTGCCACTTCTTAATAATGTGGGCGTGTCGCGTTTCTGCGTCCGATGAAGCTTTAATAGTCTCGGGACTGAAAGCAAAAACATCAGTTAATACAAGAAGTGTCGCGTTTCTTTGTCATTCTGATTTGAAATATTTCTGTTTTGGTTGTCTACAAAACTTTTTCTTTTATTGCATGAATAATTCGATTTTATTATATCCCATTACTTAGGTTATGGGATATAATAAAATGGAATTATTCAATGAATGGAATGGGTTAACCTGGATGTAAACCAAAACCTTTTACGGTCACAAGAATGCGAAACAGAGTCATAAAATGGGCATCTGTTATGAGGCGACACGGCATCTACTCAATATTTTTATAGTTATACATTAAGTCTGAGTAAAATTACAAAAAACTGCAATGTACCAAAAATAACTTGATTGACTGGTACAAAGCAAAATAAAAGCTAGTGCACGATTAGATAGAGCTTGGGTTCCGCGTATTGCTTACTATATACGCACTGTGTTAGATTTGCCCTAAGGCCTAATAGGCCCGGGCCTAGAGTGGCCTACGTGGCCAAAAATTCACTGATGATAGTAAGATATATGGTGGGTGCTTAGGAAGGGGCGGCTGGAACTTACTACTTGGGCTCCGCCACTGAATATGCAACTATATTTATAACAACAACTTTAATAAATATTATTAAAAAAGAAACCAGAACGATAACAGCTTCTCCGTGTAAGTGATACAAACATTACATATCGTGGCATGCCTAATAGCATAAGGCTATAGAAACTTTATATTTAGCTTATAGTTTACTCCACATCATGGATCAACGAATAAATAAGTTGTTTTAAATTTTTTTTATTTATTTCATTATGCGCTTATGCTCATAATTTCTTTAAGGGTTCTTTTTGTCACGGAATCCTAGAATTCGAGGCAAACCCATGACTCGAGTATCCGGAAACTGTAAACGTGTAATAGATTTACCGCTCATTTATATCTTTAAAGCGAGTGAAGCAGAATAAAGTTTTGCTGTTTATCTAAAGTCAAAAGGAGCCATAATGTTAAATCGGTTATAATTAAAATTTATAGAATCAACAGTGACAGCGAAATAAAAACCATATAGTGCAAATATGGTGAGTGTAAAGAAATAACTAATAACATTGATGACATACTGAAAACATACTTCTACTGTTTATAATTCAATATACGAACAAACAAATATCTCTTACAGCGGCTGTTACTGGTCCTATTCATATTGTTAAATGGAACGGCAAGTTTATATGTTCAAAAAACAATTGAAACAAATTATCCGAAAACCTTAATGTTCACCGATTTGATGAATAAGAAAAAATCACCAATATTAGGACTGAGGCAAGAGACGCTATTAAATAGTAAGTATTGTGAAATAAAAAACCTATTTTAATTTTATTTTAATAATTCGATTGTTTAATGCAAGTGAATAAGCCAAGTAACAAAATTAACCTTTATATGTTCAAATTTAAGTATATTTTGGGTTAGATAAATATGTCTGTTTAGTACATTTTTATCCCCAGGTCGAATCGATAGTGGCTTTGCCTTTCCAAATATTGATAAATTATTAACCACCTTAAAGATACCCGGATACAACGTGTATCTTTTAAATTTCAAAAACTTCAATACAAAGGAAACAAGACGATACAGCGAAAATAGCAACATGATGACTCATTTAGAAAATGAACTTGAAACTAAAAAGACAAATTATAACGCATTTGTAAATGAAAAAAATATCAAAATTATCAGGAATAATCTAACAGAGGTTAGTCAAAATTTCAACTTTATAAAATGATATGAATGCTGCTCTACGTTTTCGTACATAACATTCAAATTTTCAAGGTGCGTAATGAAAACTATGATCCCTACCAAAGCTCGATTAATACTGATTGTGATGGAGGAGATTCTTTGAACATAGGGAAATGCATCGAACAAGCAACAACAACTGCAAGTGACATTTTGAATGATACTACAACAAATAGCGACTTTTTAAACGAGAACTCTACGACGACGTCAAGTTATGATGATGAGGTAAATTTTTAAATCTTAATTTATCAATATTAATTATCAATGACCAGAGCAATACTTGATGAATGTACGCTATGTATGCGGATAATGTCGATTTCATGTTCACAAACAACACTGTGTACATGTGGCATGGATATGACCTTGATATGACGTCATTTAGAAGTGGGCATAGTTGTAGATTGTGGTCGGTTTCTAATTATATTTTTTAATATACTAAAGTTGTTTTATATTATCTTTAACGCCTAAGAAGTTAAATAATAATAATTTTGCTATATGGAAATTTTGTTCTGTTAAACTTTTTATTGCTGTTGCCAATTTGTTGCCATTCTAAACAATGATTCTATTAAGTATCTAAAATGTAGACATACTATTAACTAATTGAGTGCATTTTGGGATTTATACGTATAATTCAATAAAATTTTATACTACATTTAATCTAGTTTTGCCTAAGTTGACTAAATTTTGATAAAATTAGCCACATTAATTCCACCAAAATAAACTATAAGTTTATACTAGAAGTTTTTAATTTTGATAATTTAGTAAGAAAACATTTCCGATTTAAAAGAAGTTTTACTTGTATAGTTAGCTAAAATAGCCTTAGAAAGCTATAAGGGGGAACGTAAAATTTTAAAAAAGTTTTCCATTAAGTAATATTTTTAACAAAGACTTAAGCTTAAGTATATTAACAATTATTCTTTTTACGCACTTTATAATTTACAGTAATATCGCCTTTTCAGACGGATTATGGCAGTTTAGCAGACAGAATCGGTATTTCCCCGGAACTACTGGCCTCAATGGTAGGATGATGCTGCATTCTAAGGAATGTTTAAAAATAAGTTATGATGTAATTCCATTTAATTCTCACATTTACCGTGACATATTCTCGTATCTAAGAAAACCTCGAAAAATGTTGCAACATTTTGAAGATTATACATCCAAAACTCGTTCAATTTTTTTCCATTGTCATCGTAGTCCATATAGACTAAACTTTTCACTGATTGGTCTTCCGGTCCATTGCGTAGACTAACATTATCATTAACAACGAGCACACTCTTTCGTGTAGCTTTCCAAGCGGTCGACGTGTTTCTTGATACTAACGTCTTGTTGTTACTGTAAAAAAATGTAGATTAGATATTAAAACAAACCATCTCTAAAATGAAATTAAAGGTGATAAGATTTATTTCTTTTATTTCTCAACTAAATTTTAAAATTTAAAAATTGTGTTGAATAACCAGAGTATCATCATCATCAACCGTAAGACGTCCACTGTTGACTGTCCATAGAACGCCACAACGAACGATACTTTGCCATTTGCGTCCACCGGTTCCCGCGACTCTCACGATGTTGTCGGTTCACCCAGAAAGAAGCCTTCCAACGCTATGCCTTATTTGTGGTCGCCACTTGAGTCCACGCCACTAGTCAGCTCTTCGGGCAATGTGGCCTGTCCATTACCACTTCAGCTTGCAAATCAGGAGAGCTATGTTGATGACTCTGGTACTTCGGCGAATTTCCTCGTTCCAGATTTGTCGCGCAAAGAAACTCTGAGCATAGTTTTCTCCATAGCTTGTTGTGTGATTGAGGTTCTCCATGATTCTAGCGCGGTCCCTTGAAGTATGACGGTATTATATAAATTTTAAAGTTTTTTATAGTGCTAATCTCTGCACTTAAGATTGAACATTAAAACATGTAGAAAAAGTACGAAAAGATTGTCGCCGCTGTGGGTATTACATAACTTCTAGAGGACTTGTAGTAACGGTTTTCCACCCTCTCTCAGAAGCTCGGTCATAATTCCCTGATTACCCGGTGCGTCGCTGTTCTTAAGCTGTTTCAGAGCCATTCTAATCTCGTGCAAGCTGATGTCTGGGATATCCTCAGTGTAGTTTCGGGTCAGCTTAGCTTTGGTGTCATGGATGTTCTGATAATGCGTTTACACAACAAAGTGTACAGCTGTCCGTAAACCTTTCAAGCTCTCTCAAAATGCCCTGTTTAGATTAGATGATACTGCCATCCTCGATCTTCAGCTTTGTCATGATGGTAAGATCATCAAGCGGAACAAGGCATCTAAAGTATTTGAATGTCTTTCAAATACTTAAGTTAAGCGACGGTGTCGCAGTTACTTATCAATTGGTTGTCCTGGGCATCATGGGTACGATTCACACACGGAACAATCATTTGTGTGACCCACAGATAGTTGTTCCGGATCTTGATGTATATTTCCAATAATAGTAATAGCAGACAGGCTGAAGACCAGTCGTAAATAACCTAACCAATACCATTAAAAACATAATTCAGATGTTGTGCTAAGGCCACTTCGTTGGTTAAGAGCGGGAGAAAAATGAAGTTACCGATAGTAAACCAAACTGTGAACCAATCTAGACCAACATTCTTAAATTTTGATATCTATTACGGACATATGTAAAGAAATTGCTCAATGTCGCGGACATATATCGTTAAAAATCCATCCTTTCGTTTGTTTGTGTTCTTTCCGGATAGCGATACAGCGTTACAGCAACGATCATACATTTTTGTGTAATTTTTTTTTTTTAATTTTATTTCGTCTATCATTACCTAATTCATCATCAAGACAGAGTTTATAAAAATATCAATAGATACAGAGTTTAAAGTATTTATGTAAATACCAGTTAGGAAAACAGTTGATAAAATAAGTGTTATGGGAAGGGAAGTAAATTTTTAAGGTCACGTTATTATCAGAGCAAAGAGAGCGACAGTGAGTGTGGCCGAGGAACTCAAATCTCTATAACATAAGGAAATTGAATAGAACGCAGTATAAAAGAGAAAGAATGTTAATGATAAAAAAATAATGATATTCCTGCGAAGGCGAATCGGAAACCGCTGGAGTTTTTAACGGTGTCACTGTAAGGCACGCAAGTTCTATCTAGTAGAATGTTAAGTAAAATAGATAGGTCAAACCCTCTATTCCTTTTCAGTTTTAAACTCTTAATTCTAACCATTACGGCAACGAAATTAAAATAGTTAATTAATACTTTAGTTATTCGACCGAATTTCTCGTGTATTAGCGATCGTATTGATACCATGATTCATATCTCTATTTATTATTATGCCCCATTTTGTTCCGTATGGTTTGATAGTATCCACCAATTATGTCAACCATTGCTATGGTAGGGATTTTCTGACATGAAGTCATAATTGATAATTTTTTCCTAGGATTGCCCTAATAAATGCGACTTTAGATACTCATATATATAAATTTTAACAAACTATTCGCTGACCTTAATTTTGCACTTAGTAAATTCTTCTCACTGCCCGTTTTAACAGGAAAAAAGATTAAGCCGAAATGTAAATTATTATGCCGTGTGTCTCCTCGGATGTAAACTGGAATTATTCATGGCATATCATGTCTTACAGAGAAAGCAGACAATTGTCCACTAAATAACACCAGCAGTGTGTTAATATTTAACGGCAACGCTTTTACGATAACGAAACCAGAACACACAATTTACAAAAAAAAATCAGAAAGAAGAACAAGAAACAAAAACTGTTCAAAATAATAGGGTAGCAACTAGGTCATTACAGATCACTAACAGATGTTTCTCCCATTTTTACGATATCCATAAATGTTGTCTTCTTCGTATATATGTTAGCCGTCATCCTTACCTAGCTTTACAAGTTCATTGAGTAGATATTTTCTTATAGTTGTGTTTTTTACTTCAATGTTATAACAGCGTGCATAAACGAACATTTTCGCCATGTTTTGCTTTACTTTTTCAGATAGGATCAGACTTTCTACGAGCGTGGAATTTTTCAAGTTGTCAGAGAAATTGCAAAAGGTCATCTAACACTTCATTCCTAGTAAAAAACTCTTTCATTTCATTTAACAAATCCACAATTACTTAGTGGGCATCCCAATAATTACTTAGTAATAATTCGTTCAAAACACAATGTTTAAAATGTTATAAGTTATAGCATTTTTAATACAATAATTATTTAATTGAAATTATTTTTTTTTAATTTTTAGAATAATGTAAATTTAGAAGGATGTAAAAAATCGTTGACAATCTCAATTGTTAGGAAGACTAATATATATGTCAAATAACTGTATGTTGTATTATATCAAAAAAAATCCTCATTTTATTTTGCTCTTACCGCATGCCATATTCCTGAATATCGATCGTGTTCCCAACAGTCACAATAATGCACATTATCTGAAAATAGTAGCATAAACATTCATCATAGATTTCTTAAAGATTAATATTAATCAATTCTATAGAAAATTTCTGATACAGCACATTATTATTTGAAACGACGTGAAAAGTTATCAAGCGAGCAAGTTCACTAGATGTTAAGTGGTAATCGCAGGCAGTGGATATCTTATGCTTAAGGGCTTGCAGTTGCACTAAAACCTTTAAAAAAGTTGCAAAAAAGTGAGCCCAGAAGTACAATGCTTCCACTTCAGGATGATCTTCTGTGACGCCGAGGTACTTCTCCGGACGAAGATATTGAAGGAAAACTAAGAAAACAGATTGACATGTATTCGTACAAGGAGGGCAACAATGACGGAAAATTTTTGCACCCAAAGCACCGTTACTTACACAGAGAGTTTTAAAGGTATTCATTTTTGATGATATAATATCAATAAACATACTCGAAGCTTGTTTAACATGTTTATGTGTTCCGCAAATTTAATAATGTGGCAAAGCGAGTAATTCATTTGACGTTCGTAAATACAACGGGACTAAAAACTAATTAAAAAAATAAGTGATTGTTATCGCAAAATATAATTGCGGTCACTTTTTTTTTTAAATTTAATCTCCATTTAGGTCATTTAAAAGTTACAGTATATTAAGAAATCAATTTTTTTTTATTTCCAAAGCTCTACAATAAAATACAAGAAAAAAAATAAGAAGACAAAAAGTTAAATCTCTATATACATATAAAAATGAATAGCTGAATGTGTTGCTATGCGCACAGCTGAAACGATTTCGCTAATTCTTTTTTTACAACAACAAAACAACACATATATTCCCGTACAAAAGATTCGTAATAATACTTAAAAGTCAATTTGAAGTTTAATACCCTAACATAAAGTTTAATTGTTAGTGGAGCGGTTGAAGTACTTCAACCCTCCATAGGTTCCGGGAAGGAAAAACAAGTGAGTGACTGTGGTAAAATGTCACTTGAAATATAAACATCTCTTTGCTGTCCATCACTACATAGTATAAAAAAAAGTCCTCCCGCTGTCTGTCTGTCCCTATGTATGCTTAGATCTTTTAAACTACGCAACGGATCTTGATGCGTTTTTAAAAAAAAGTTACGACATTTATGTATATTCCCTAAATTCTAATATATAAAAATTCTTATATCACGGTGTTTGTAATTGAATCCTCCGAAACGGCTCGACCGATTTTTGTGTACATGTGTAAATTTTGTGTACATGTCAACAAATTCTATTTTTCATCCCCCTCAATGTTAAGGTTGGTCCACCCCAAACATTTTTTTCCACCCTACAAATAATTTACCTGGCAAAACAAAGTTTGCCGGGACAGCTAGTTATAAATATATATATATATATATACAGGGTGTTACAGAAAGATGTTGTAACATTTAAAGCCGTGTATATATATCAGACTTTGAATGAAATGGCATAATTTTAAAATACGAATCTAAGCATTTTTTGACGATAAAAATTAAAAAATTAATAAACTGTAACACCCTGATTGTAGAAGTCACTGACCGCCCATCGGTGTTATCACTCCAAACTCACACACGCATACATCTGATCGCCCGACTTATTCCCCTCTCCCTCCACTCCTCGTTACGTCATTACCCCACTTCCCGCTCCTCAAGTTTATCGGTCCCCTCCGCCCGCCCCTCGCCAACCAAACTTTGACAACGACCGCATCGCGCTGCAGGTCCTGGCGATGCTATGAAACAACGTGCTTATCATAAAAATTTATTTGAATTTATCGGATTTTGTCACAACAGATAGACACGAAATAGCTATACTGGTTGCCCTACTTAATATGTTATTGACTTTTCTTTTGATTAAAGATAGGTATTCATTATAAGGAAATAAAACACAAACACACTATTTTTACTACGTTTATTTTTCAAAGCAAATATCCGCGTCATACCTACATAAAAACATTTTTTACATGGAATTAATAATAGAATCCTATAGTTGGTCAAACATATTCACAATGTCCACTGTAACTTATAATTTTTTAGTATTGAGATTTTGAATTAAACATTAAATTGCTTGCAGTGGAAGGTACAAACATTTTAGAAGGTTACACTTACTCACAAATCTTACAACGCCGATAAATTTATTCAACACAACATCAGTGAGATACATTATCATGTTATAGCGGATACATAATACATAATAATGACAAAAATAAATTTCGAATTAAGTAAGTTCAATGTAATTATAAAGTTAAAACAATAAAATCTTTATTTTAAATAAATAACCTATACCTAGACATTCCAATGAGATCAGCGTTTACTAAGAAAACTCGTGCTTATCGGTGTCGGTCGGTTCCATTACGCGATACTATTCTTTCACTGTTATAGCACTTCAGCACTTGGGATAGTCATTGTCACTAACTTAAAACACACCAAGGTCAAGGGTTAAGGGGACGACGCATATAGGGCGCGGACGCAGACGAGGGCCGATCCTACCAACTCCTTTTAACACAACTGGCAGCTGTTCTCAATTTATTTCAGCATTCTTGCTTGCTGTCTTTTGGCGTTTCTTCTTAATACTTATGGCGTCAAAGACTGCCTGTCATCGAAAAAACCAATAATGTAGTTTTAAGGTAAATCGACGGCATTTCTCTCCGCAACACCGAATATTATTAAGCAATTTCTTAGCATATGCATTTCTGTCATCAATAACTAATCGAGAATAAAAAATAAAAATCACGAACTTGTCTTCACACCGTAATGTCTAAAAAGTAACTGATTGTGATTTAATTAAAAGTTTAAATAACACAAACGAAGCGACGGCATATTTTATGTATTGGACTACCTAAGCGGCATTCGGCTGCTTATGTCGTTAAGTACATAAGAAACGTTTGTTGAGGACTATTTCGCCGATCGCATAATAATGTTACCATGTCTACTGAGTAATATTACAGGACGGGAGAAAATAATTGGCTATTTAATTTTCAAATCAGCATAGCTATAACAAAAACTTTTTGTGAATCAACATTTAACTATTGCTCTATTATATTCAACTATTGAAGGTCAGGTATTCTTTTAATGGTATTTTACCATTGATATTTTTCATTTGTAGTAGACAAAAATCAAACAAAACATTTAGAATCTAGTTGACCTTCTTTAAAATACCACAAAATAATCTACTATTTAGAGCTTTTGGCTCATTTTCAAGTATTATTTTAAGCTTAAGTTATTTTAACTATTATGCAGACTACTAACTTCATGAGAAAATGTGAAAATTTCAGAGCAAAATTATTTTCACGTGATGGCAGCTTACAGTTTTGTTTATTTTTCCTATCAAAATTGTAGCACAAAGTACAGACTAAGGTCTATAAAAATTCGGGATGACCGAACATAAGAATATCGGGATATTCCACGCGGATCGGTACATCTGGTAACACTAGTTCTAGGGAGTGCGGTAAATACAAAGGCGTTCTTTGTTTGACGCCGACCATCCACGTGGACTGATGGATTTGAATAGAAGGTCATTCAATACACGTGTAATTAGATCGAAGAATCATAACTAACTATAAAATGATAGTTATGCTTATGGATCCATGAAATTACTTTTTTTACTTTTTTCAGAATGCTTTGTACACTGAATAATAATTAATGCAATGAATTTAATAGGTACCGAAAATTAAGTTTAAGCTGTTATTATGGACTAAAATTTTTATTGACATTTAATAAGGTATCCATCTAATATCAAGTTAATGGTATTTGTTTGGTTCCGCATAATAAAGAAAAAGTTCATGATTTCTTTGCAGTTTTTTAATTTTTGTTAATGCGCGCGATAAATAACTACACGTGCTGCCACCAACCGAACAAGCTCGGAGCCCGAGAGTCGATGTCTTTCACATCGACTCAACGCGTCGCGTTAAGAACGCTAATTTATTTAATACTTTCCGCAAAAACTTTTAATTGTTCAATTAAAAATATTGGCGCAAACCTCCATACTTTCATTTAAAACAAAAAAAAAAATTACAAATTATTTAAAAATATAGTCCACAATTATTATTTTTTTTCATTTTTATGTCTAAATGCTTATTTGTATTGAACATAGTAAAGTCTATTTGTATACATTTCGTATTTTTTTTTGCCCAAAATTATTAAATATAAAACAGTTCCATCTTGTAGATTGACTTATGACTATTTACGGTTACCAGTTATTTAATTAACAATGGTAATAGTACGTGTTGTGCCTTTTTGTATTAGACAAATTAAGAGTGAATACATTTTTAATTCAATAATTCTTATTTAATTTGATCGTATTTTTTGATATCCGTGACATCAAAATAATTATCTAAATTCAACAATTCGAAAAACCTGGACAACCAAATTGATAAAAATTTAAATTATAAAATGATCTGTCGTCAAAATTTACTAATGTATTGGGTTTTTTCTTTCTATGAAGTGTTTTGGGTTTTAAAATGCTCGATTCATTAATCTTCGAAATATCATACGAAATGAAATTCGAAATACAGTAATCACTACATAGTATAAAACAAGGTGGTCCCGCTGTCCGTCTGTCCCTATGTATGCTTAGATCTTTAAAACTACACAACGGATCTCGATGCGGTTTTTTTTTTTAATACATAGAGTGATTCAAGAGGAAGGTTTATGATTAAAGTATAATAATATGAATAGATTAATGAAAAAATAATGAATTCCATAAATCACTATCACTACATAGTATAAAACAAAGTCGTCTCGCTGTCTGTCTGTCCCTATGTATGCTTAGATCTTTAAAACTACGTAATGGATCTCGACGCGGTTTTTTTTTTTACTAGCTAGAGTGATTCAAGAGGAAGGTTTATAATTATGTATAATACATTGCACCCGTGCGAAGCCGGGGCGGGTTGCTAGTAAAGGTATAATAATATAAATAGATTAATGAAAAGATAATGATTTCATTCAATATGTACTTATAAAATAGTCTATGCTGTTGATAAAAAGAGCATTTTTATCAACAGCATAGACTGTATGTATTACAATTAGTGTGACAATGATATTATAAGTAATCTTTATCTGAAATCGATCAACCAAACACTAACTTTAGTTTATGACCAAATTTCTAGTACTTACATAAATAGACTTTCTTTTTTGAAGATCATTGGCTAGCATAAATTCATGGAAGGAAGCCGTATATTTAATATTATTGTCATATTTTTAAATTTTTTGTATTATTAGGTAGACTAAAATTTTAAAACATAATAAATGTCTTGTCTCATTTATTTTTATAATTATTGTCTTACCAAATCAATACTTTATTCTACTATTTTAGAGCAGGAAGCCTCTAATACAAAAAATATTATGCATAGTAAAGTAACGGTTACATGTTACAACCACGACATTCGATCAGACGACTAGTAGGTTTTATAAACAAATCGTAGCT